CATAGCCTATGGATATTTTGTTTTGTTTTTTTACAAAATTTGAACTGCGTTATACATTTTCACTTAAAAATATCACAAATCTTTGCCCATAATATTACAAAAAGTTTAAATCACATAAACATACTCATAAAGCCCTATTGGGCTACTGTATAGTGAGTGCATTTTTATCTTGTCCTGGACATAGCAATAGTATCTTTTATTTTATTGATATTTTTATTGATTTCAGAGAGGAAGGGAGAGGGAGAGACAGAAACATCAATGATGATGACTGGCTGCCTCTTAGACACCCCACACTGGGGATTGAGCCCACAACCCAGGCATGTGCCCCGACCAGGAATCGAACTGTCATCTCCTGGTTCATAGGTCAACACCCAACCACTGAGCCATGCTGCCGGGCGCAGATAGTATCTTTTAGTTGGAAGGGCAGAGATGATGTTTCCTTTCACAGAATTATTTCACTTTGTGTTGTTTCTATGAACAAATAAAATGTCCCCTCCTTGTCACTAGATGAAAAGACTGGTGGAGGTTGATGTTGGAGGACTATGATTTCCCACCAGGTTGCAAATCATTGGTATGTGCTGTTATCATACTCTCTCCTCTCAGAATTGCAAGGTCATTCTACTGTTCCCCGGAAATGTTCTCACTGTTGACAGTTCTGGGCCTTCATGAGAGGGAAAATGTCCTACTTAGCAACATTCAAACAGCACACTGCCGGCAGCCAACATTCAACTTGGAATAGTGTGTGACAGCTGACCTAACACATGACCCAGACACATCTTGTTTTCAAGTGCAAGATAACTAATGTCTTCATTACTTTAGTTTGTGCTGATTCCATAAAACTGCTTTGGGCAAGAACTTCAGAAACTTGAAGAAAACAAAGATAAATTAAGAAACACACTGTGATGGGAACACATGTGGTGATGGCTGGACTGGAACACAGCCAGAGCCGCTGTAATTATCAGCCAAGATTCCTGAGAATCTATTGTGTCCAACATTGAGATGTAAAGATGCTCCTCTGCCTTTGAGAAATCACATCTGCGTAGGAGAGGAGACAAGCACGGGAAGAGACAGGCGACCCTCAGGTCCCCTTGAGGAACAGTTTAGGAGGGATTAGGATTGCATGGTCAGTAGGGAAAGACCATACACAGAGTCAAAGAAAAAGGATAACCTGGCCCCCAAAACCCCAAACCTTTTATTTTATATCACAAAGGGCTAATTTTATTATATTTAAGAGCTCCAAATTAGCAGAATCTATAATAATAAAAGCATAATATGCTAATTAGACTGGATGTCCTTCCGGACAACCTTCCGGATGAAGTGGGTCCTGGGTGCCTGCCAGCAGCTGGACGGAAGCCCGGGTCCTGGTGGCCAGAGGGAAGCCGGTACCGGCAGCCGGGGGAAGGAAGGCCTACTCTTGCACAAATTTCGTGCACCGGGCCTCTAGTAGTAATATAAAAGAAAAATGGGCAAAGCACACGAACACAGTTCTCAAATAGTTTTTAAACATAAGATGATCAACTGGACAAATAACAAGAGAATTTTAAACCATGAAATAATTTTCTTCCCAGAGATCAAGAAGTTGAATAAGAGTATTGGTGAAGATTGGGGGTGAGATAAGCACTCATCCATTGCAAGCATAGGCCGCTACAACATGTACAAAGCTATTATAATAAAAGCTATCATAATACTCTACAATCAGCACCTCCCTTTCTAGAAATGTAAAGATATAGCCCTAACCGGTCTGGCTCAGTGGATAGAGCGTCGGCCTGCGGACTAAAAGGTCCCAGGTTCGATTCCGGTCAAAGGCATGTACCTTGGTTGCGGGCACATCCCCAGTAGGAGGTGTGCAGGAGGCGGCTGATCGATGTTTCTCTCTCATTGATGTTTTTAACTCTCTATCCCTCCCCCTTCCTCTCTGTAAAAAAATCAATAGAAATATATTAATATATATATATACACACATACACACACACATATACACATATATATCATGATGTATACAGGAACACACCTCTTGTAATTTTACTCATTATATCTAAAAAGATGGGATCAATTTAAATGGGCATCAATTGGAGACTGTTTAAATAAATTACAGAGTATCACTGTGATGTAAATATTAGTTTTGAAAACAAGTTAGATAGATGTATAGATGACAGAAAACAGATAACATAGATACAGAATAATCTAAGAGGATTTGTTAAGTTAGAAAAACCATGTAGCCTGGCTGGTGTAGCTCATTGGCTGAGCACTGACCCATGAATCAGGAGGTCACTGGTTCAATTCCCAGCCAGGGCCCATGCCCAGATTGTGGGCTCAATCCCCAGTAGAGAGTGTGCAGGAGGCAGCCAATCCTCATCGATGTTTCTCCCTTTCCTTCCTCTCTAAAATCAATAAAAACCTATTAAAAAAAAAAAAAAACAACCTATATGTATACACCAGTGTAAGTATGGTAGTGGAGGGCCAGTTGTAAAAGTCTAAAACCTAAGAGAGAAACAGTCACTGACTTCACTCCAGACCTACTCAGCATCTGAGGGGTTTAGAAATTTCTTTTACTTCTCCAGGTTTTTATAACTAGGAGATGGTGTTTTTTAAGGTGACTCCTCCAGAGCCAGGTCACCCCATCCTGTATTTATGCAAATTAACTTTTCATGTCATGTGCAGACTTTCTCACCACACACGCCCACTCACTTTTTCTTTTGGGGAACAAACCAGACAAGTTGTCTTGCAGAACATATGACGTGAACTTGTTGAATGCATACTTGCCCCTAGTGCCATTTCTTTCCTAAAAATTCATTCAGTATGTACTGAGCAATATGCCAGAGTTAGGAACTGGGGATATTAGGGAATAAACTAAGTTTAAACTCACAAAGGGGATCTAGTAAGCAGGTTAAATAATTAGAACACAAAAGGTTTTGTGCCATAAAAGACACGCACTGACCATACTGAGGGCCCAGACACCCCTCTAAATTAGCATGTGAGTGAGGGGCAGGGGTGCGGATCAGGAAAAATGACTCAAAGGACAAGTGTTTGGATTTACACGGTATGAAACCCCAGGCCCCCAGCAGGTGCGTAGAGGTGCACCTAAAGGTGTGGAGAAAATAAACCAGAGAGAAATGGAATGGACCACGAGGGCCCTTTTAGATGAGATGATGATGGCCTGGATTTTAATATGGTCATAGTTACATTTTAAGAACCAGTCCACTAGGCCCGGGGTCAATGACTCAGGGCAAGACAAGATCCCGCTGGCTTCTAGTACTTTGTTGGGGACTGACACCAGGTTTTACTCCTGTGATTTCCTGCACCTTCTCCCACCCTCTCATTCTCCATCCGAGTTAGAATTTTCACAGCTCAGCAGTGAAACGAGAAGCAAACTGATCAAGGAGCTAGTCAGAGTTCTTGGTTCACTAGACCGAAATGTATTTCTTGGTTCTTCATTAACTCCAGGAATCTTTCTTTTTCTGTAGTTACTTTAGGATAATTTCCCCCCCAAAGTTATTAAATTTAGAAAAGTAATTTAAATAACATATCACATTTGATTTATACTTCAGAAATACCAGCAAGAAAAATGGAGCTGAGTTGGGACTGCCTTTCTAATCTCTCACTGTTGCCTTCATTGCATTTAGAAATTACATTTGTTTATGCCTTAGACTTTAAACCACTTTTATTTAATAACAATTGACTTATATTTAATTTTGTTTCATCAGTTTTGCCATTTGGTATTTAATTAACCAGAAATAGGATCTGGCCTTTAGAGCTGCAAGATTAAAATATGGTCTAAATGAAAGGCATTAAATTATACTCAGTAGGCCCTGACCAGTTTGGCTCCGTGGATAGAGCGCCGGGCCGTGGACTGAAAGGTCCCAGGTTCGATTCTGGTCAAGGGCATGTACCCTGGTTGCAGGCTCGATCCCCAGTAGGGGGCGTGCAGGAGGCAGCTGATGGATGTTTCTCTCTCAGTGATGTTTCTAACTATCCCTCTCCCTTCCTCTCTGTAAAAAGTCAACAAAAAAATATATTTTTTAAAATTATACTCAGTAGTGTCACTTAGCATATTTTATTGTAATCTTGGGTCCTTAAAACTCTGTGTATCATGATCAGCATCCCAGCTACCAGGGACAAATGCAAAGCCTTTTTCATTGAATCAATTCTAGTTCTTTAAGAGCCTCCAACATCCCCTGGGACGTAGGTATTTGCATCCCCATTGTAAAGCACTAGGAAACTGAAGCCAAGTAAAGCATCTGGTAATGAGTGGTGTTCAAACACGTCCGACTCCAAGGCCTAGCTCTTCTCCTTTAAGCCTCCGAGTAGAAACTTCATGTTAGTATAAACCAGTTGTTCTCAACCTGGGTGGAGGGTGGTAGACATTTGGAAACACATTGGGAGACACGGTTTTTGGTTGTCACATCTGGGGGAGAGAGGAGTTCTGCTGGCACCCAGTAGGTAGAGACCAGGGATGATACTAAACAACCTACAATGCCTAGGACGCTCCCCCACAACAAAGAGTTACCCAGCCCAAAGTGTTAAAAGTGCCAAGATTGAGAAACTAGAGGGTAATCAATATTCCTCAAAAAGTCTTACAGACCTATTACTACCCCCATCCTGTTTTGTTTTCTGAAATCAATGTTTAGGGTCAATGAAAATAGCTTTAAACCAGAACCAGATGTGTTTAATACATAGATGCATGCACATTTTTAATGCAGCTGAGAAGTGCTTTGAGTTTATACTGTAAAACACTGTGGAGTGATCACAGAACTTTGAAGGTCTCAACCCCAAATATTATGGTATATTCTGCATATAGATGTAGGGTGGGGAAACACATGTATGCTTCATGTTTCCAATTATGTGTGATTGTTCTGATCTTTATTCTGTTTAATAACGGATGCAAAGGGTGTGGGGAAAGAAGCCCTGACTCAGAAAGCAGGGAGAAACATCATATTGAAACTTTATAAGTAGACATTTTTTTTCCAAGCACAATGAAGCCACACCATGAGGCAGAAAACTACTTTCTTAATTTTATTTGAAAAGTACACAAGGTCACAAAGCTAGAGCAAGTTCTTGCTTTTTTAACCAAATTTGTTCTTACAAAGTTCAAAATCTGCACCATTGGATATTTAAGCCAGAAACTTTAAATACAAAAATCACCTTTGAAACTGACACTATCAATTCTCTACTTGCATATGTGAAGTGTCAAAATATTTTTTCTCAGTAGTACAAGTTTATTTATTACAAATGTTCACAGTAAGGGATGAGAATAAGTGAATCAGTGAATTGTGGTTCTCTTGACACTTGTGTCATTAAATACGTTAGTAGAAAAATGCAAAGTTCTTCCTTGATTGGAGGGTTTAGTGTTCGTGACCAACACCAATCCCAACAGGTACTTTCCCCTCAAATTACAAAACAGGGTACTTTGTAAAACTTGATTAACAGTAAGAAGCCAGATACAGCAAATATTGCTGGTGTTACTATCCATAAGATAACATATTTGCTGGTGTTACTCATAAGATAACATATTTGCTGGTGTTACTATCCATAGGATAAGCAGAACTGCAATTCACAAATTTATTATTCTTCCCTGTTTCCATAACATGAATAAGTAGAATCTGTGCTCAGTTATGGACCATATTTTAGTGTCAAAATAGGCAAACAAGTAAAAAATCCAACTGCAGAATATGTTGCCTTTATTGCAAGACTATCCAAAGGCATTTGAAATATTAAAACTTGCCCAGAACATTTATACTACTAAACACAGAATATTACAAAGATGTATGTACATATATATATATATAATATATAATGTCACAAGCCACTAAGAAGTTAAAATGGTGTCAACGTTTTCTACAAACTACTCCTTACACGACACGTCAAAGCATTAAGCACATAATATGGACCTTTTCTGTTCACACTGGAATAAGGGGTCTGAAAGCCCTAAACACTGTGGAGGTGAAAAGAGATTAGGAAAAACTTGAAACATTCACATAACTTTAGATTTACATGCTGCACGCACACAGAAAGACAGAGAATGGTTATTTTAAAAAGCCATCCATTATAGAATTTGATGTCTAACTTCATGCAACGAGTTCTTTTTATATTTAATCAAAATGTTTATTTGCCCCTTTACTTGCTCCTAATTTATGAAACTCAATCTTGAAAATTATCGTTTTCATAATATTAATTCATACCAATAATCTAATTGTGTTTCTTGAATTAACCTCCCCCTACGACACACTCTGGCTGTATTTCCATTGTAACAACTCCAGGGCAGATTTTTATTTTTTTATTTTTTTTGGCCTTCTAACAGGGGAATGTTAGAATAAAAGAACACCGTAAACTACACATTAAAGCACAGAACTACGTCCTCTAAGGTACCACTGCTTCTCAAGTTATCCTGTGTAACTCAACAAAAGGGTATTGAGTCTCTTAGGTGTAAAGTGGAATCAATTGCTTTTGCCTCGAAGACACAGTGCTATCCTTGGCTGATGCTGGTGAGCTCCAATGGCAATGCTCGAATAGCAAGTTTTGTTGAATTGCTTGATGATTACCAATAATTCCAGAACAGATATCTGATCTCTGGTTTAAATGAAATTATCAGTGAGAATCCCTTAATGGGTCAAGCAGAACTACCTGACTTCTGGATTAACTGAAATTTACCATGAGAGTAGCTGAAGACGTAGCCTAAACCTGAATTCTGTCCTCTAAATGTCATCACGCCCGATAGGTCTGTACAGGATACACAACTGATTTTTTGTGAGGTTGTTTCTGAGGGTACAGGTGCTTCTGGAAGAGATTCTGACTTATTTGTAGCTAAATCCTAGACCAGTGGTCGGCAAACTGCAGCTTGGCAAACCGTGGCTTGCGAGCCACATGTGGCTCTTTAGCCCCTTAAGTGTGGCTCTTCCAAAAAATACCGGCTCTTCCACAAAATACCAACTTCTGCGCATGGGCCACGAAGTTTCAATCGCACTGTACGTGCGCGCGCACACGTGGTATTTTGTGGAAGAGCCACACGTGGCTCGAGAGCCGCGGTTTGCCGACCATGGTCCTAGACCAACTACGAAGTCTAGGCAAGGAAAGCCTTACATGTGTCCATTTTTTGTAGTAATTTCTACTTAGATTGATAGCATAATCTTCAGTGCATGAAAACTAATAAAGACCAAAAGTTGTTTCTTAGAGTTTGTGCTGGTATTTCTTAGTACTATTGTATATACATTTGTATTCATATAAAACAGACCAGACATCTGGAGTTCAAAAATAGTTACTATTATAAAATCAGAAACACAGCCAAAGAGTGTTGGGGATGTTGAAATTTTAGTCTTTATGGATAACACAGTCTGTTAATTTGCATACAAAAAAGAACAGAAAAGAGGAGGCAAGATTGAAGTCTGAGGATAGGAAGGTGTCACAGTGATGCATTTTTAGGAACAGTACCTTCACCTCTAAGCACCTTTCAGGTGATAGCTAGCTCATAGGCACCAGAAATTCATAATAGAAATTAAATGACCCAAAAGGCACAAACGAAACTGTTAACACAAGTATAAAAGCAATATTGTGTGAGGTTAAAACCCTATTTAAAAAAGGCTTCCGAATATGTGAAACCATACACTAATTCATTACACAGACATTCCGCTTAAATTTACCATTAAAAAGTGTACACAATACTCTTACTAATCAGAAAGTCATGCCAACATTAATTTCTAATGCCGCATGAACCACCACAGCACCCAAAGAGATGAACAGAAACCAACTCCCTACGAAATGGAGGGAACAGGTTTTAGAGCTAGTGAAATAATTTATTGCAGACCTTACTTACTATAAAGAAACTGCTGGCTCATTCTACTATATCCACACTCCCTTGCAATCTTAAGGGAAATACAATAAATTTACTTTCTACTAAAACAGTATTTAACACATTTGGCAGTTGGGAGTATTCCTTTTACTCCCTTTCCTTTCTTTCTTTTTTTTAAGAATAAATCACTTTCACAAAACTAGGACTCAAACTTTTCAAAACTCAACTGGATTTTCTGCGACTGCACAGACAGGTTGGCAGTAGAATAGCAACTGTGCGTCCTCCCAAGTCTGGAAGGCAGAATTGCGAAGGACACCGACTAGCTTAAATGCGCTCCGTCATTCCGAGCCTATGAAGGAACATCCTCCAGAAACTGCATTCAGGAAGGTAGACTTAGGATTACATGTTTCTGGAACGTATAACATGCAACACCATCCAAAAACGACAACAACAAAACGCTGAACTTCTTAAAATTTGGAACCAACAATTAGGGAATTTCAATCTGTATCTGTCCAATAATAAATGTTATAATTTTTTTCTTAGTAGAAAAATATCACCTAATGCAGAGAGCCAGTATGTGGTTGGGAACTGCAGGATTCCCCATCCTTGCTCTGGCGGGTCTCTGTTCTGGAGATCACCCCAGATTGCTCATCGCTGAAATCCACCCTCACTACCATACCTAGTGTCATCGCTCTATGTAGTGACAGCAAACCTGCTAAATAAATCCATAGGTGCTCCTTTACTTTAGCATATAAAAGAGCTTACTATGCCTCTGTTGCCTATTGCCAACAGTCCATCAATCAAATACTTAAGCAATCATTCCATAGACAAGGCTTATGCATGACCTGAAAGTAGAACTAGTAATTTCTAGAACCCTGTAGAGTGTTTTTATGTTACTAGAGCTATTCCAAACACATTTAGAGTTTTCAAAGAACAAACATAAAGGACTATAAGAATTTTTTGCCATGAATGCTTCTTTGCCAATTTTGGGTCATAAATTAATTGAGAAAGGCATCCTAAAAATAATGGCAGGAATGAAAAAGTACTACTTTTTAAGATGATTCAAGTATCAGCTTGGTGTACATGTAAGTTCACCAATATCTTCTCCTATGATTTCATATCCAAAGTGCTACATATTACTAAGCATTGGTAGTTAGAAACTGACAAAATCTTTAAGAAATCTTTTTCAGATGGCAAATTTGTCTTTAGTAACTTTAATGCCTATACTATTCCAATAAAAACAAACACAACTTTTTGAAGTACGTTTCTTACAGTTTTTGGTTCATTTTTTGATCTATTGAGGCTGGTAGCAAAATTTAGAACAAAATAGGTTTTCCTATTTCAAAAGAAGAAGAGAGGTGTGGAGCACGGAGTGAGAGGTTCGGAGGCCCTATACTATAGACCCGTCCTTGCTCTGGGCTGGAATCATCACCGGCACCGCTCCCATCCTACTGAGATTAGGGGCAGCTACCTTAGCGGGCGGGAGAGTCGGACTCTGAGGAGCGCGTTCAAAATCTTCACTTGGTACTTGGTTATACTGAGTCTTGGAATAGCCCTCCATGTTGGAAGGAGACATGGATCCCAGGGATGAGTGATTGCTGCCGATGTAGCTTCTGGCTGTGGACGTCCGGCTCTTGGGGGGAGGCACGTCTTCCCTGGAAAGCAAAGATCCCAAAATAATCGAAAGAATGAGTTTCTAGAAACCTACAATTGTGTAGCCTATGAATCATGGGTGGGGGCTATCTAAGCACGAAGTATATAAAAGTGTGTGACATACAAAAAAGCAAGCACAATCTATCTACATATATATAAAAGGCTATTATGAAAAGTGTCCCCTTGGGAGTTTGACCTGGAGACCGGAATCTGATTGCTCGCTATGATGTGAGCTGACCACCAGGAGGTGGCGCAGAACAAAGGAAGGCCCCAGCCGGCAGCCAGAAGGCCCTGATTGGCCCTGATCACTGGCCAGGCCTAGGAACCGTACCTGTGCATGAATTTCATGCACTGGGTCTCTAGTATATATATAAAAGCCTAGTGACCGTTTTGACTGGTCACTATGACGCACTGACCATCAGGGGGCAGACACTCAACATAGGATACACCCTGGTGGTCAGTGTGCTCCCACAGCCAACCTCCTGCGGCCAGCCAACCTCCCGCGGTCCCTTCCGCTTGGCCGGCCTCAATTGGCCCCGATGGCCCCGATCACTGGCCAGGCTGAGGGACCCCACTTGTGCACGAATTCATGCACCGGGCCTCTAGTAAAGTATAATGTCACAAACTGTGTATTTGTCCCTTAGTTATCATTTACAGAATAAAGAACTTCTCATATACTGAAAGGCAGTATTTACAAAAATTTATGATTTTATAATGTCTTACAAGGAACAAACCTCAAATATGTTCATATTCCAGTAGAACTCATCAAGATAATCTCATTACAGTCCTGTAACACTTTATCCTATATAATAAAAGGTTAATATGCAAACTGTCCCCTCGACCAGTTCAACTGCGAGTTTGACCAGGGGGTGGGGCCGGCTGGCCAACCACCCATGGCTCCTCCCCCCAGCCAGCCCCACCCTGATTGGGGGCAAGGCTGGCTGGCCAACCGCCTGTGTCCCCTCCCCCTGGCTGGCCCAGCCCGATCGCCCTGATTGGAGCAAGCCAGCTGGACCCCACCTATGCATGAATTCGTGCACCAGGCCTCTAGTAGTTACTAAAGCACTATCACCTACAGATATATTTCTACCAAAAAAGAAAAAAAATCCTTTTTGCTACTAAAGTTACTGATCTAAGACCTTAGCTGAAAACAGCAGATTCCAGTCTGCAAAAAAACCAGGAATTCAGGCAGAAGAATTTTCACACCAAGGACTGAGTTACATCTGGTGCATTTTAAAAATGCAAGTGCCCAGATCCTACCTCATACCTACCAAATGTCAATTTCCTGGGTGTTACTCAGTCACATGTTATTTTTTAAAGCTCAATAATCGAACATACACTTTTAGTTAAGATCTTCTGGTTTAGAATATTCTGTTAAAAATCACATTACCAACAGTTCTGTCACTTGATGTAATTAGGTCTTTTTTCTTTCTTTTTTTTTTTTTGGAGTATGCCATACCTGTACTTGATTTGGAGAGGGCGAATGGTTTTGAGATAAGCTATTTTGTAGTGGTTCTTAAAATAGGACCCAGAACTGGAAAGGGACTGGGGGCACAGCCTAATGGAGGTTGATTGGATCTACACACTTGCCAAGGAAAGTGAGAGCTTTCAAACGTGTTGAAGGGAAGAGCTTTAGCTTTTATCCAGTTCTCACAGGGGCAAATGTTTCGGATGGTTAAGAGAAGTAATGCTTTAGACATAATAAATTTAGTACACTACACGTCAATCAACTCGGGTGTCACTGAATTACCTGATATCATGATGAACTTCCTTTTCATATTTTTCTTCTCGGCGCTTTTTATGGCAGCAAAAGATGATCACGCAGATGAGCATGAGAGCAAGCAGAGTTCCTATAATAGCTCCTGCAATTGTTCCAGCTCTGTTTGACGCTAGAATAAGATGTTCATAAGTAAATAATGGTAAAAACAACACCACTCTATCTAGTCATATTGAAGGTAAGGACACACACTGACAGACTGATCTCATTGTATACATTAACTATAGTAGGTCCTCGGGTTACGTCGGAGAACCATTCCTACTGGGCGACGTAATGCAATTTTCGCCCTAAGTAGGAACCCACCTAACATAAGCACCTACGTCACTCACATGGAGCACATACACAGCAGTAATGAAGTGAAACAGTAAAACAAATTTAAAAGAAAGATAACAATTCTTGACCTTTACTATGGTAAATAAATAATAAAAAACATAAAGCACAAATGTACATACGTTGAAATGACAGAACTTTTTTTTTTAATAAATAAATGGGAGATGGCGATGTAACCATGAAACAACGTACATCGAGCCCGACGTAACCCGAAGACTGTCTGTATAAGAAACTAATTAGCTTTTTTGGTCCAAGGAAAAAATCCACTAAAAGAACTTTCTTTTGAACCATATAATATATTTTATGTATTAATTTCAAGGAATCAAACTGTGACCTCCTGATTCATAGGTCAATGCTCAACCACTGAACCATACCAGCTGGGCTGTATAATATATATTAAGCATAAATGTGATCAAACCAGATTAAAAGAGTTTAATGTTCCCAGCTATATGAGTTGGCATATAAGGATGTTCCAAATAGCTTATCCTTACAATGGCTAAATATGGTAAAGAGTTGACTTGACAACTCTCATGTTCTTCATGTTGCTACAATCATGAAGGTTTTTCTAATAAAATGTAATTTTTTTCTTTCCGTGACTCAGGAAAGCTATTAACCAAGCCACAGAGTGCTCTGCTCACAGTCTGCATCCACTTGGCCTCAATACACCCTTGCTGACTGAATGGGGGGGTGGGGGGACTGTATAAAGACAGGGGAGCAAACATTACCACCCCCGGCGGAAGGTACTTACGAGGAACAACATCCAGGCGCAGCTGGCACTGGTCAGAGCCCACTCTGTTGCTGACGGTGCACTTGTACGTCCCCGAGTACTCAGTGGTGGCATTTTTTACAGTGATAACAGAGGAAGTCATTTCTATGAAAAGAGAGATGGGGCAGAGGGAAACCCATGTTTACAGGACTGCTGAGATTGCAGTGAAGGCAAACCCTGCTAGGCTTGACAGTCCAGGCAAAAGTGAGAGAGGCAGAAGCTGGGTGCGGAACCAACGCCAGGCAGGCAAGACACGTGCAGGTCTCCAGAAGGCAAACCACTGCGCCTCCGGTTCATTTGTGCAGTAAGATTTGCAAAACCCATTCCACCCGCCCCGCCCCCCAGATGGAAGAAACATACAAAAGAAGTCAGAAGGGACCATGCAGTTTACCTCTTAACTTGAAAAAAGAAACAGAGGCTCAGAGAAATCCTACTTGGAAGGTGGAGGCCAGTTTGAATAACAGGTCAGTTATAACCGTGGTCAGCAAACTGTGGCTCGCGAGCCACATGCGGCTCTTTGGCCCCTTGAAAGTGTTCTTCCTAAGCCTTAGGAGTACCCTAATTAAGTTAATAACAATGTACCTACCTATATAGTCTAAGTTTAAAAAATTTAGCTCTCAAAAGAAATTTTAATCGTTATACTGTTGATATTTGGCTCTGCTGACTAATGAGTTTGCTGACCACTGAGTTATAACAAAGTGAGCAATTGGATTGAACCAGTTTATAACTTTCCAGTTAGTGCCACATGGATGCTTTTGGTCTGTTTTGTAACAGACATACCATGGGTAAATCACAGTATCTTCAACACTAAGGTAGGCTCATGAAACTTTCAAGATCCAACTCCTTTTAACTTAGTCATTAATTTAAGATCATGAACGTTTTCTGACAGTATTATCATTAAAAAAACATATACCAAAGAAACCAATTATAGTGTCTCAAACAGTGAAACTGTTATAAAAATATATTATTTATACTACATGACAGTAAATTGTCTTGGAATCTTGATTGTTCTGTGTAGAGAAGGGGATGTAAAACACACACACACACACACACACACACTAGTTAAGTCCACATCTATGGCACACGGTACAGACTGTCTAATCGGCGGTACCTGACACCAGTGCTGTGGGCAGCTTCTGTGAGTTGGACAATTTCTGCCATTCATATTGTAATGGAAGTGAACCTTCCTTGGGTTCACATTTTAGTTTAAAGTCATTTCCAATTTCTTCCGATCCATCCACATAACATCTTGTACCCGAAGGCTTAACTGAGAAGAGAAAATAAATTATAACTTTACACAGAAAAACAGACTATTTAGAATGATTCTTAAACACCGAGCATGCTGCACAACCACTGACTATTATCACAAGGTTCTGGTTCAGAGTTGACAAGACTGAATGACTACAATTGGTTATGCAACACAAAACAGGCCAGACTGGGCTCAGGAAGCAGCCGCTGCACAGGGAGGTCTGGCAGCATCTCAGGCCCGGCTCTGTGTCCCTTATTCCACAGGGCACACCTGGAAAAAGCAAGCACGCTGTGGGCTGCACCTCTTCAGACTCAAGGAAGCGCCCTCCTCCATTCCTAACCTCCTCCTCTACCCCACGCCTGACATGGGAGTACGTGTCATGTCACACCTTTCTGGTGCCATTACTGTCCCAATCAGGGGATTATAATAAAAAGTGCTGGCCACAGGGTCAATTCACTTGGTACATTACATCAACCCCAAACCACCCGGGGAGCACTGTTACAGATAAAAAGGTAAAGCTGAGGCTATATCCCAGGTCTCCCTGGGTAACTGCTTAGAGAAGCTGCTAACCCCCATTTCCTGAAATTCACCCCAACACTGAATTAACACCTTAGTGCTTCAGATTCTCTTGGTGAACTTTACCAAAGCATAACACACACACAATAAAAGGAACACATTTTAATAGTGTGGGTTGATCATGTTCAAAACATGTGTGCGCACACGAACACACACACATACCCTCCCCCACACGCACCCCCTACACACACATGCACACACCTTGTTGAGCACCACCCCAATCCGCTCCCAAGCCAGTTCCCTTGGGCTGGGTGCAGTCATCTCACTCTACAACCCTAGCCCCAGGCGCCACTGGCCGGACTTCATCAGTATCAGTTAGTTCTGCTGCTTCTAGGGTCATGTGAATGGAATAATACAGTATGTGCTTTTGTCTAGCTTCTTTATTCATTGCAAGGCTTTTGACATTGATCCGTGTTTTAAAAATCCATTCTTTTTCACTGCTGAGTTGTATTCCACGGACTATAACAAACGTAGTGATCCACTCCTGTCGGTGAACACAGATTCCAGCTTCCGGGCTCCTGTTAAAGCCTAACTCCCTAAGCTCACCAGGAGCTGGGTGTCGTCGGTCAAAATCAGACCGGCCGGCCAGTGAGGAAGGGGCTGGTAGGAGCTGTGGGAGGTCACTGGACGAGAGAGGAGGGATTCTGAAGGCTTCCAGGGGAGACTCAAAGGAGAGAGATCGGTTACGAGTCCGATGCCTTTTCTGGGGCAGGTTAGGAGAACCGGCAATGACACTGGTGACAAGGGCCATTTAGCAAATGCGCACCCTGCTCAGTAAAGGATGGGTACGGGGCTGGGGGCGACACTGGGGAGGCAGTGGTAGCCTAGAGTTCACTGCGGCTCCACGGCCTTGGGAGGAACAACGTCCCCTCTAAGGCTCTGCAGCTGGCTGTCTGGACCTGTCCTCCCAGCCTGACAGATGGCAGGACTGCTTTTTTCTTTGTTTTTTCTTAGTCTGAGCCGACTTTCACTCCTCCAGTCCTGGGTGGGTTTGTACTCTTTCACTGCTATGAATAAACGTGAATGGGTTTTGCAGTGGTGCACAATGACGAAGAACACTGCTCGAACACTCATGTGGCTGCTGGTATGCCTTCCTTTTCTCAGTCATTGCTGGATCATCTATGGTATGAATATCTTTAACTCTAAATGGAACCGTTTCTCCCATTTGGCCAACAAGATCTATCACTTCTTGATAATTCTTCAATTTGGTGGTATTTCTCTCCTTCATCCGTTACTACTTGTACTGTTTTCGAAGGATCAACAGATGCATTTGATGGCATTGCTGATTTCCTAAGCAAATCTGTCTCCTTTTCAGATTGATCCGTTGCCCTGGAGACCACATGAATTGGACATTGAAAGAGGTTTTGCAAATTATTTCATCCTGTGAGTCTTAAACAAGATGAGCTTTGTTCTTCGTTTCTTCAAACTACCAATAAATCCTTTATTACATAAACTCACAGTGGGACATGAAAGCAATGCTTTGTACACCAGATATCTACTGGTAATACAGCATACTAACCCCAACCTTCATCTTCCCTGCTAAAGATGGCCCTTTCCCATGTACCAAACATACCCCATAATGAACAGTTATTTTAAGTGGCTGCTCAGGACATCCAAGGCCCCACTGGGTTTGAGATCTCAACATCCTCCATCCACAAGAGAACAAGGTTTTACCAACAATGGTTTCTGAGTGTCGCCTAGGAGTGGCCCACCTACTTTCTGACCCCAACCATGACACCACAGGGAAGATGAACTCTTCACCCATGACACTTGATGGATAGAAAGAAAGAAAACCACACAGGGACAGAGATAAAGTTTTATCCCCTAATGTTCCTTTGGTCTGGGATTCCAGGATCCCTGGCCATTTTCCTCAGAACATTTGCATCCGCGATCATTGGCAGAGCTAGTTCTTCTCAGGTAAGGGCACATGACCATCATCAACCTGTAGGTGGCCAGTGTCCCACCAACTTAGTGACACTGTGCTCCATATAGGTTTTGCATCATTATCCCTCCATGCTAGTGGCCTATCTCAGTCTATATGAAACACACACTAAGTCCCCGTAAGGAACAGGATATATAGGGTGTGGCAAAGGGGTTACAGTTGTGAGTATGTGGAACAGAGTTTATTCTTATGTAACTTATTAATTATCGCATTATTTTCCATACGAACAACTGTAAACCTACTTTTGCCCCACCCTGTATACTTTCATCACCATGCCATCCATCCAAAAATGCTCATTTTGCTTGCTTCAGAACACCAATTTCAGGCAAAATCCATGCAAAGACGCCAAAAATCACTGGCCAAAATTTGAGGAGAAATGAAATATTTGTATACTTTCAAAGTGGCTCCCCAAGACTTTTTTTTTTAATTACAGAAGGAAAAATCGTAAGCTTTCAGTGGAGAAACCCATCAGATAAAATTTAAACCGAGTGATCATGATTGTCAATGAGACATGACATCACATGCCCTTACACGACCGAAGCAAACTCAGGAGACATACACGCATGTGGATCTTAGACTTGGTCCTAGCATAAAGGGACTTTAGTAGAAAACTGTGAGATTCAAATTAGGTCTGTAGTTTAGTTAATGGTATTGTCCCAACATTAATTTCTTGGTTTTGATAACTGTACTATGATTTTGTGAAATGTTAATAGAAGAAATTAGATGATGGGGATACTCTTAGGAACTCCTTAGTAGTTTTGAAACTTTCTATAAAACTAAAGTGATTTCAGAATAAAGAATGAAAAGAAAAAGTCCTGCCCTCTACTAATGGCTTCCACATCCCAGCGTTGTCTGAGCCACCACACGTCCAGGAAACTGTTTACTGTGAATGCTCTACTCTCCACAACCCAGCCTGCTTATTCCAAAGGTCTCGGTAACAGGCCCTTTTGGAGTTGTGGGGAAAGGCTCTGGTGTGGCCACAGCACTGTTCACGCTGTGGGTTCTCCATTCATTCCCCTTTCAGCTTCATGACTGAGCTGCATCCACACGCACGGCTGGTGCGTCTGACGGAGCAGGGCGGGCCCTGCCAACACAGCACGGCGCCCCTCACCCCCAGGCAACCGACAGTCATCCCGGCTCAGGTCCACCCAGCGCGTGGAGCTTCATGAGGCAGCTCTGGTTACGCTGCAAACAGCAGGAGGGCATCTCCAGATTTCCCACAAACGTGTCAATGTTTACGCAGAGCCTCTCACAGGGAACCAAGCAAGAACCCCACTGGATTACCACTGGTCTGGTCCCTCGAGAGCACTTCACTTTGTCTTTCCTCCACAGATTGTCTCAGCAGAACTTCAGGAAAAGCTAACAGACGAGCATCTGTCCAACTCTCACTCTCAAAGGAAATTGTAGTGGTTTCTCCCACAGCATGACTCATCTGACAACACGGAGGGAGCGCCACAAACAAGGAGCTGTCCTCTGACTCAGAGACACACTCACGGGATCAGAGCACTAGTCATTAGCACGCACTTCCTGCTTCTTCCTCTCACCCTGCATTTAACCCGGGCTCCCTCCCTGGTTTGCATTCAGGGTCTACTTGGCCCTGGTGACTCCCCACAGAGCTAAGGAGAGAGGTTACTGAGTCAGTGCCTCCCGCTGATCCATTCCGAGGGATTCAATGTCCAGCTTGTGACGTTTAATGAAACAGTGTCATTCCTCCTTCCCCACAGCCATGGCTGCTGCCCTCAGTGTGCTTGACCATACTATTGTCCAAGCTGGGCTCCTTCTGGGATACGTGCAGCCTGTGCTATAAGGATACTTTCTGTGGAAACCTACAAATTCAACCCAGGACCTGGTCCTACAGAATCAATCTCTCTCTCGCTCTCTCTCTCTCGCTCTCTCCTGGTCCTACAGAATCAATCAATCTCTCTCTCTCTCTCTCTCTCTCTCTCTCTCTCACACACACACACACACACTGAGCTTGTCCACACCTCTTCTGGGAATACATGCCAATCACATCCCTTTTAATGTACCTGCCCCATCAAACAGGGGCTTCACAACAAAAAATTCTGATAGTCTGATTAACTGGTATACTCTGCTTGGGACACCCTGAACCAGTTAAAATTCCAGATATATCTTAACTCAATGCTTTCTGGAGAGTAGGGCTAAAAGAAGATGTACAGTCAGGGTTATAATCCCGGGTATGCCTGGGTCTGAGACATGAGTTCAGATTTCTTCAGCTTTTACCTGCTTTCACATTTATAAAAAAGAAAGGCAACTCCATGTTTCTGAATGCAGGCACAGAAAGCTGGAATTTCCAATGTTACCAGAGTCCTTTTCCTGGCTTCTCATTCAGGTTCACTTGCTTTCATACCATAGGAAATATTTCAAATGGGTGCCATTTAGAACAAAGTGCCTTTACCACCCCCCACCCCCCACCCCCCATGTGCCCACTCAATGACGCTGCCAGCAGAGAGCCCCTACGTTGCCACCAAGTGTACGGAAACCTGCTCTTGTTCCTGCTCTGAGAAGAGTGATGTTCAAAATGAGTCTGGAACCCCAAACGCTTAACCCCTTACTAGTTCTCTAAAACAAAGGGAATTTTGTTTCTCATGTGAAGGGTGAAGGGTGCTGGTGCATGATCACATAATCTAGAGAGGGACGGTAAACTTTGCAGTCTTGAACAGCTTGCAAAAAGTTTACACTTATCTCCTTCTTAACTATCTGAGAGAGCGAGACAAGACATCCAAGTGACCGTGTGGCTAATCCCCTCCTTTTGAGGATGAAAAAACTGAGAGGCTCAAGGAGTTAAATGGCTCTGGTGTCTAATGGTTGAATCCCAAGTCAATATTCCTTCTATCATACTCCATCTCCTCCATTCCAAATACTCCAATTCGTCATCAAAGAAACCTCATTTATTTGCTGGGTAATGTAGTTTGAGAACGTTTACAGTACACATAACAATTTTGAACTGAATGAGATCAAATAGAGATTTAATGACAACTACATCTCGTTTCACAAAGGTAGGCTAGAGTCCAGGAAATAAAGATGCTCTTTAATTCTCAGGGCAAATCTGAACCAAAAACCAAAACACAAAAACCAAAACAAACCTGGATCCCTTAACTCCTGGCTCAGGGTTCTTTTCCTATATCACAGAACCTCTTCACTTACTTTCAAACCCTTTTATGAATTTCACCAAGAAACTAGTCACTTATTTTTTCTATCCAAAAAAGGCGGCTAGTTTTATGTTATTTGAGGACAGAGTTACTTCAGATGTTTCAAATTATTACTCTAAAAAACTAAGCTTTGTCTCACATAAATGCTACTCTCCTACCGTGACAACTCACCCTGTTAATAAATAACATTAATAAAAATAACTTACCAAGAACTTTCAGCTGAATCTTCTTATTTCCAACGCCAGGGGCTTTTTTCACTTTGCACTGATACGTGCCAATATCTGACAGCTGTAAATTTGTTACATTTATTGACGCATCCCCGGATTTGAGGTCACTACTGGTAAAATGTACTCGTCCTTTTAGATCTGGATAGTAGTCATCGTAAATTTTGTCTCCAGAATATAAAATAATCTAAAAGAAAACCAAAATAAGACAGGAACACAACAACGAAGCAAAAGCTGTGTCATTGAAGGAGCTCTAGGTACGCCACGCCACTGCAGGACCCCCCAAAACAGTAAGAACACGTAGACGAGGAAACCACAGCTATTCAAAGCACAGATTAAGGAAATGGAGAGGGATCAATATGATCCTTGAGCGTGGTCACACACTCACTGTAAATGTGGAAACGAAGACCAAACATGATTAAAATGGCCCTATGTTGGATGTATTAGTGAAACTGGACAAGAACACAGAATTGTGAATTTCTATAATTACTTCTCAGGGGCTGCAGTAGGTATGCCAATCAAGTGTCTAAAAGCAAGCACACACCATCACCATCCCCAAAAGAGGGCTTATGATCATTTACCTGTGAAATCTAACAAAAAACACACACAAAAAAGACATTTTTGTCTTAATACTAAGCTGGAGGGTTAATATTTAGTAATTGAGGGTTCTAGACTCTAATAGGTTAAAGTCATAAAATAAACCTCTTAAGATGTGTGCCCAGGGTAACAGGATCTTTTAAAGCTTCTGTTAGAAGAGCAAAGACCCTTTCCTAATTCCACTGAGTTTTCTGAGTTTAATGGAAATACCTGAAGGCTAAACTCAGTGGGAAAATAAAATTCTGTGTTAAACCTGGCTTGGAAGAGAATGATAATAGTCATCTCTAAGTATAACTAAATTTAATTCAACACACTTTATAATTTTTCACATGTGCTAGGAAATCCTTCATTCGGGTCATCTGAGACCCAAGGGCCAAAGAGCGGTGGTGCCAAACTCAAATAATAACCAGAAACATGACTATGGTCTATAGTCTGCAAATTATTTTTTATCTGAGATGTTAATTATGGAAAAGAGTACAATCAAAAGAAATGTCCTCTGTAGGAATTTCTTGGGGGCAGGGACTTGGGTTCCTTTCTGTATTGTCACCTTCCTACCATGTTGACCCCCGTCCTAACTCACTCCAGATCTCTTATTTATATATTCAGTGTCTGCTTGGGGGAAGCCCTCAATCACAGTAGACAGCTGAAGGTGCATAGCTGACTTACTCTGTAAACACGGCCATTACTCTATTTGCTCAATCTTCTCGCCACACCCATGTGTCAACAGCAGTACTAACTCCTCCAAGGAGGCTGCCCTATGTTCCTTTGTATTTAACCATGGGCTCCCCAGGAAGTTCAATCTACAGTACTTTCAATGCCCCATTTTGCTACTCACACACTTTAGTAGTCTTTTGACGAGGGCCTGACAAATCAGATGTGTCCCCACTGGTAGCGACTTTGTAAACTATCACAGTCTTTTCCCACGGAGACAAGGTTATGAACGGCAGTTAAGAAACGGGGAACTAACAAACATTTTACTAGGCAATTTTGGTTTCTCTTCACAACCCTGCAGGATGGTGGTCTTACCCACAGTTATCCTTTAGCTGCAGGGAAGCTGTGACTCTCCCAGATCAGCTTTTACAAAGTCACACAGCTAAGATGCCAACCAGATCCCTTTGAGCTGGCACAGTATTTTATTAACATTTCCATATGACTGGTAGGCTTGCAACACTTATGCATACAGTATTTCAGAAAACTCTCATTACAGTCTTGAGAGGTAGGTTTATTTGTTCCCATGTTACACTTGAGGAAACAGAGGCTTCTGGAACATGGGAGGCAGTACAGGACGGTGCAAAGGACAATAAGGTGCAAAGGGGGGCAAGTCAGAGAGACCTGGCTTCAAACCCCAGCGGCAATGTTGCCAGCTGTGTGACCCTGAGAGTGTTCATTCAAATCTCTGGGCCTCCGTTTTCTCCTCCTCGTGTGTACAACAATAATTCTCATTTTAGAGTGTTGTTTTAAGGCTGAAATACATATAATTAAAGCATATGAAATACCACAGAGCACAGAGTAAGTACACAGTCCATGGTATGCTGTCTACTGCCTTAAGAGATAAGACATAAGAAGTAAGGATGGAAATTTCTCCAGCCCAGTGCCCCATCACACTGCCTGCTAATGTAAATAAACTAGAGGCCCGGTGCACCAATTCGTGCACCAGTGGGGTCCCTCTGCCTGGCCTGCAGGATTGGGCTGAAACCAGCTCTCCAACATCCCCCAAAGGGTCCCGGATTGCGAGAGGGTACAGGCCAGGCTAAGGGACCCCACCTGTGCCAGGGAGAGGCGCGGGAGGTTAGCTAGCTAGGGAGGGACCACAGGAGGGCTCCAGGGCATGTCCAGCCCATCTTGTTCAGTCCCAATCAGCCGGACCCCAGCAGCAAGCTAACCTACTGGTTGGAGCATCTTCCCCCTGGTGGTCAGTGCACGTCATAGCGACTGGTCGTCCGATCGACTGTCTGCCCCCTGGTGGTCAGTGCACATCATAGTGAGCAATTGAGCGGCCTTAGCATATCATTAACATATTACACTTTGATTGGTTGAACAGCCGACCGGTCAACTGGACATTTAGCATATTAGGCTTTTATTATACAGGATTAAAAGGGCACAGCTAACATATAATGTAGCTAAGTTCTATGTAAGCATCCTCTTCTGCACCCACTCTCCCTAACCCTTCTAGCTTTCTTTGGGCCCAACTGTACTGTGTTATACTCCGAGGCTCATTTTTGTAACCCACAAGTGGACGCTTAAACCCTGGTTTCCTACTATCTCACACGTCCTGCAGGAAGCAAGCTGTGCCTCCCACCCGTCCCAGGAACAGACACACAAGACTATGGACACACACCGGGCTTCTTGGTCTCTAGAAGCACCTCGTTATGGCTTCACTTACGCGTCTTAAGCCAAAAGCATTTAAGTAAGACCCGCACTCTCCATCCATTCATCTTAACCAGGAGGGCGGAGTCCTGGGCTGGAAAGGGAGATGGGCACTGCGCTGCCAGGGCCGTGAGGGTACGCAGGGCCTCAGGTAGAAAGAAGCCTGTGTTCAACGGTGCTGGCCCTCCGTGGAAAAGGGGCAGGGGTGGGATGAGAAGAGGAAGGCAAAGAGGAAGGAAACAGGGCATCTGGGCTGAGCAGACAGAATGAGTCCATTTCAATTTACTTTGCTGAGGGAGACAGAAGGAATTTCCAGCAGCAGAACCAGGACAGAGGTGTGTCCTTGGAGGGAGTGGCCCTCGTCATTCTCAACTTGGGAAAGTACCTTAATTATTTCCTTCACAAATACATCACGGGCAAACTGCCTGGATTTGCTTAAAATAGTAATTACCTTACTGCCCTGATTCAGCCATTAACTGGCTGAATAACCCACCCCTTCTTTTACATGGATCACAAATAAAATTTCTCTTCTAAATATGTACATAGTTGACCCTCAAACAATGCAGGGTTTAGGACTACCAGCACCCACCTCACACCGAGTAGAAAATTTGCATATAACTTTTTTTCTTAATCCTCACTTGAGGATAGGTTTTAATTTATTTTAGAGAGGAAGGGGGAGAGAGAAACATCAATCAGTTGCCTCACTTTACGCGTCCCAACTGGGAATTGAACCTGCAACCTTTTGGCGTACGGGACAATGCTCCAAACAAATGAGCCACCCAGCCAGAGCTGCATATATAACGTCTGACTGCCCAAAAAGTTAACTGCTAACAGTCTTCCACTGACTGAAAGCCTTCCCAATAACACAGTCAGTCAATCAGGACATATTTTAGATGTTATATGCATTCAATACTGTATTTTTACCAAAAAAAAGTAAACTAGAGAAAAGAAAATGTTAATAAGAAATTAATAAAGAAGAGAAAATACATTTAGAGCATTTATTAAAATAATCTATGTATAATGGAACTGCACAGTTCAAACTTGTGTTGTTCAAGGGTTAAATGTATTACCATATTCCTCCCAATATGTGGACTTATTTCCTTCTCCCTGGTCTAATATAATTTATTAACATTGACTTTATTTTTTATTAAATGTGTCAGATGAAGCTAATATGCAATATTCTAAATTAAGTGAAATATTTTGGTACCATAAAAAGGCAAAGGGTGATTGATATACATATATATTTATTTAGAGATGAGATTATTGGGCAATTTTCCTCCTTTGTGGTACTTTGGCTTTCCACTAGGCTCTTATTATTTTATAATTAAAGATTTTTCTATAACAATATTTTGATAGTTGTGGGCTCAATCCCTGGCCTGGGTCAGGGCACCTGTGGGAGGTACCAATCGATGTATCTCTCACATGGATGTTTCTCTCTCTCTCTCTCTCTCTCTCTCTCTCTCTCTCTCTCTCTCTCAAAACCAATGGAAAAATATCCTCCAGTGAGGATTTAAAGAAATAAAAAAATAAAAATGGAGAACAGACTCTGCAATAATATGTAACTGTTATACCCTGCTACACTTGATGACCCTTATACTGGTATCAGAACTCTTGTGTTAAAAGTTAGAAACTCAATCCTATCAACTTTTCACAAAGTCTAACTTGCTTGCCGACCCTTAACACACACTATGCACACTTCTGCCGTGCCATCATGTCTGCTCCACTACTTTCTGACTCATCCACACTTGACAATCCTGATTTTCAGAAGTTCCCGTGCTCCCTAGCCTATGTGGGCAGCGCAGTGACGGGCACTGAAGACAAGTTCCACAGACAGCTGCTGAGCGAGCGAGCACTCGGCCAACTTACCACTTGATCCACCTTCTGATTATCGGCTGGGGACAGCAGCCACTCGATGTCCAGCGGTCCCTGGTCTTCCGGACCTTCAGTAAATTTGCAGGGCAAATAGGCAGTTTCCCCTTTGGCCTTTTCAATCATGTGGTCAGGACTGGTGATAATCAAACTTCTGGTGACATCTGGAGAAGGAAACACACAAACTAAGCATCTGAACCCTCGGCCCACCCAGCCGTTCAGAAGGGACACAGGATGCGGTGGAAACAAGATGCGATTTGAAACCAGAGTAAGAGAGTTCAAACTCAACGGTGCCCGGTTGTCAGTTTGTGCCTTTGTAAAATTAGAATAACAATATAATGTCTTATTCAATATACTTTCCTTTAAGAGCTCCGTGAACATCCCAACTGTATAGAGCAGCGGTTCTCAACCTGTGGGTCGCGACCCCTTTGGCGGTCGAACGACCCTTTCACAGGGGTTGCCTAAGACCATCCTGCATATCAGATATTTACATTACAATTCATAACATTAGCAACATTACAGTTATGAAGTAGCAACGAAAATAATTTTATGGTTGGGTCACTGTATTTAAAGGGCCAGAAGGTTGAGAACCACTGGTATAAAGGGTGTTTATATCCAAGCAGGTGTTTAAAACTGAATTGAGCTGGCGTCTCTGAAAGGCCAGTTGTGTCGCGCCAATTCAAGGCCACATTAGCCATGCTCGCCTTGGTGCCACCAACACAATGGGATTCCTTATCGCTGGGACGCATGCTGATGAATTCTGACACCTTTTTTTTCTTTTTTAATTCTAAGGGTTTTTTTTTTGTTTTGATTCCATAACTTTTATTGAATGCTTGAAAATATTTCTAAGCTAAGTGGGTAGATCCCAAGAGTTCTCGTCAAGAGGAAAATAACCTATTTTTCCTTTTTCCTTCTTCTTTTGTGTATCTCTATGAGCCGATGGGTCTTAACTAAATTTATTGTGGTTATTATTTCACACTATGTGTAAGTCAAATCAGGCTAAACATCTTAAACTTATGCAGTGCTGCATGTCAATTATATCGCAACGAAACTGGAAAAGAAGCCACCAAAATAAGATGTCCTGAGCCCCAAACAAATGTCCAAGAGATTCTGCTGACTGAGTTTGTCAAAAAGAGATGGCTTAACCTCACTGAAACATTGTAAGTGCTAAAAAAAGAGTATCCTTCTTCTTGAGTTGGGGCTGTGAACACAATACAATATACAGCTGATGTATTATAGAATTGTATCCCTGAAATCTATAATTTTATTAGCCAATGTCACCCCGATAAATTCAATAAAAATAAAGATAAAGTCTCCTTCTTGCTGCAAATGGTTTACAACAAAACTATCTTTTACACACATAAAAGGTAGAAATAACCTCTGAGCAAAATGGCACCACTTCTTAATCTATATAAGAGTAAAAATACCAAGTTCAATCAATTCACATTTCATTTTTTTTTAAAAAGCAATTTTGTTCATATCAATTCACACACGAAATAGGTCTGCTCACTACTCATGTGTTATGAAAGATCAGAGTTTGAACAACCTAACAATTTGGTATAGAATGCAGATTTAGTCTGTAAATGAACTATCACACAGAACTTATTTTTTTATTATTTACACTGTAAAAGATTGCATAGCACTAGTTTGTCAATCTATGTTTCCCTTATGAGGGCATTTTAAACATCTAATGTATGCAGAACCAAAGTTTCAACTGAACAGCAGATTTCAGCAGCTCTCCCATTTAGGCCTCTCCATCACCCACACTAACTTCCGTGGCTGGAGTATGACCTGGAAGAGGCCCGAGGCACTAAAATCATACATGACCCATGGGTCCTTGTTTCCTCCCCATCTCTTCCCTTGCTCCCCCCATAAAAATAAACACATGAGAGAAAAATTAGAGTAAATTCAGATCCTAATCCTCCATAATGAGAAAAAAACAAAAATGAGGACTTAGCCGTCCCCTGGTCCTTTCCATTAGCACATTGGCTATCACTTGTAATAAGATGCTAATAAAGTTGAAGCCAAAAGATTGAGAATGAAAGAAAAGCCAGATTATATTCAAGACCATTTATATTCAGGAGCCATCCTAAGCATTTTATCACATTCAAGTGCACTCCTTAAATAGCAGATTAAAACTGGACACAGACTCTCTACTCCCCTAAGTCAGAGGCTGGCCTAATACTGACCAGTAGAAAACAGCATGAATGTGGCTATTCTGAGGTGAGGCCTCAAAAGGCCTTGCTGCTCCCACTCTCGCCCTCTCAAATCCCTGCCACCTGCCACCAAATGAACAAATCACATAGCAGAGAACTGAGGTGTCTGACCAATAGCTACAACTGCCCATAACGCAGGCCCCCTAGAACACTGAGCCGCAGTCCAGACCAGCTGTCGGCAGCTGCAGTGAGTGCAGAGCTTCCCCTCCGAGCCTAGCCTAAACTGGCAACCCATAGGATCAGGAACTAACACGTATTTTAGTTTTTAAGTCTCTAGAATTTGGGCAAAGACTGATGATGATACACTATCCAAATCCACCAAATTCAGCCCAAATAGACTACTTAATATTGCTTGCAAGAAGTCCATACTACCCCAATCTGAATTTCATATCTAACACTTCTATTTAAAATTATGTGATTTGATATTTATGTGTGTGATCTCAAATGTCTCTCCTGAATTAATATTCAATCCCCAAATACACACTTTCTATCATCTATAGATATAAAAGCCTAAGCGACTGTTACGACCGAACAACTGGAATGACTGGTCGACCAGTCGCTATGATGCGCACTGACCATCGGGGGCAGCCACTCAATGCAGGAGCTGCCCCCTGGTGGTCAGTGTGCTCCCACAGGGGGAGTGCCGCTCAGCCAAAAGCTGGGCTGTCGGCTGGTGAGCGTAGCTGCCGCTGCGGGAGCCTCTCCTCCCGACTCCAAGTCAGTAGGCGCAGTGGGCCGAGATGAATGCAAGCGGCGAGGCGCTGGCTCAGGCTCTTCCCTGGCTGCACTGCTACATCCCCCAAGGGGTCCCGGATTGTGAGAGGGCGCAGGCCAGGTTGAGCCCTCCCCCCTCCCCCTGTAGCACGAGTCCGTGCACTGGGCCTCTAGTTTCCAATAAACTGTGTTCCATACCTACCTCATTCACCAAGGTAGCACTCCTCTACCTCTTAGCCTAGAATGATTTTTTTCTGTTTCTCTACAAGTGCTCACAGTACTTTACTTTCTGCTATCTGTATCATCCTTCCAGCCTTAGCATATGGTATCCTGGAGATTTTTCCCTGGTAAATTTTATTGTGAAGTTGACTCACATGGTTTTGTCACATCTTCTAGATGAGCTTCTGTTCTGCCCATACTCCCTAGTGCTTTTAACTGATTCTTTATAATGCTGGTTTATCATTAAATCATTAGTTCCACTACAGTTGGGAGAAAGTATGGACACCTCTATGTCCCGTTGTAGTTCCTTGTACATTAGAAGAAAAAAATCGGTGACTAGATCAGTGATGGCGAACCTTTTGAGTTCGGTGTGTCAGCATTTTGAAAAACCCTAACTTAACTCTGGTGCCGTGTCACATATAGAAATTTTTTTATATTTGCAACCATAGTAAAACAAAGACTTATATTTTTGATATTTATTTTATATATTTAAATGCCATTTAACAAAGAAAAATCAACCAAAAAAATGAGTTCGCGTGTCATAGGTTTGCCATCACTGTACTAGATTATAAAGTTGATCAAATTTAGAAACGCTGAAAGAGCATTAATCTGCCAGTTGAAGATGAATCCTGCTACTTGAAGATCTCCTTTCTATAGCCACGACAATTTGTTGCCTGCATTTATCTTGGTAGTAATACTTTATGTATTGAGTAAGATAAAAACAATCTGAGTACAGTCCAGAGTGAAACTTCCATTCCAAAATGAATCAAGACACAGCACCAAAATACAGAGGTAAGACTATGAGAAAAACAACAACAATGAAAACTTCCTGATTACTCTATGTTTTTAGTGTTTTTATTTTATTAAATTAAATTTAAAAGTTAAATGACATCAGTCATATAAATTTTTCTAAATTCAAATTAGAATAAAATACAACTTTGTTTTTGAAATAGTACCTTTTATTCTTATTTGATACATAAAAATCACGTTTATCTTTAAAGAGTTAAAGACAGTTCATGAGAGGAAGCACTGGGGGAAGCGTGAAGTCCCCGTCTGTGGAGCACGGTGTTTGTGGATGCTTTCCCGTCCGAAACGCCCACTTTCTCCCACTGAGAGCTCCTCCAGCCACTTATCACAGAACCGCCACCTTTCACCTCCTCTCAAAGGCTATCCCCATCCCCACAGGCAGGCAGAGTTAACCACTTCCTCCGAGATTACACGATTACACAACACTCTCATAGGTAGTTGTTTACACGCCCTGCCCTTAAGCAAATAGGTTCATTCACTGAACAGATTCTCTTTGGAGGGTATATCCCCAAGCCTTACTTAGTAAGCCCTCTGGACCTGTGGTTACACAAAACTACAAAACTGAGACTGGAGGGCGGAGCTCAGAGTAGAGGGAAGGTGAAGGAGTGATGAGGGTAGAGAGGAGAGGCCTGCCCAGCCGTGGGCAACCGTACCCTTTTATGTAATGAATTTATATTAGTTCACACAAACACTCCATCCATGCTTTTGTTCCGGCCCTCCGGTCCAGTTTAAGAACCCATTGTGGCCCTCGAGTCAAAAAGTTTGCCCACCCCTGGGCCTGCCAGACCTGGTGGGGAAAGCAGGAAGGCCATGGGAAGACCCGTATCCATGGAAGCAAAGGGGTGGAGCAATGAAGTCCAGACAGGAGACAGAGCTGGGAGGGAGCTGAGCAAGCCTGTCACGTGCTGACGGGAGCAGTCCTTTGCTTATTACTTTAGTATTCATATTACAATAGATGTTAGCAAATCTGGTTTTAAAGAAACTAACAAGATCAGCCCTAGCTAGTTTGGCTCAGTGGATAGAGCAGTGGCCCGCGAACTGAAGGGTCTCGGGTTCGATTCTGGTCAAGGGCACGCTCTCTCATATCGATGTCTCTCTCTGTCTTTGCCTCCCTGTACCATTTTATCTAAAAATCAATGGAAAAAATATCCTCAGGTAAGGATTAACTAAAAATAAATAAAAAACTAATATGATTTCAACTTTATATGCAACTTTATGTACAATTATATACAATTATGAGGGAAATACAATATTAAGAAAAACTTTTACCAGGGCCTCACATCATTCCTGCAGCCTCAGAAGAGCTATGGACAGACCCAGAAATGTGCGTGCTAACCACTGCCCAGGTGATTCTGATACGCATTGGAGTCTGAGAACCGCTTATACGTTCAGTCCAAAGCACTGAGATGTAACACTAACCCTGACTGTCATCTTTAATGT